TCATTAATGAATCACGACGAGTCTAATAAACTAATCAGAGCTAATTAATAAAAGAATACGCAAACAGACTGACTATGGCATATAATATTAATAATAAAATACCGCTTTGAATCTGTTTGTTTTTCTTCTATGAAAGCTGTTTAATTGAAAACAAGAAATATGATAGAAAAGTAAGCCGTTCGTTGACATTCGGAAGCCATTTTCAGTCCAATTGCCTATCCCTAACGTTTGGTCATTAAAGAAAGGAAAGGTCTGTATGTAACATTTTCCAAACCATAAAAGTTTGGCTGTCATTGTTATCAATAAGAAATATTTAATGCGTAATTCACAAAGAAGAATAAACAACATCAAATAATTCGTTTGTAAGTTAACTAAAAGCGTCATACATTTATATAGCTCAATGTAGAACGGAAGGTGCTCGTGCCCTTTATTTGGTGAACCCTAGCACATTCGTCATTCTACTAATACTATTATAAAGTACTTACTCATGTACACGTGTACACTTGTATAAGTCATTTACCTTTACCTACGTTTACAAGAGCTATATTGCGATATTATGTTTCATGAACACCTGAGGGTATTAGATGGTCGTATTTATGTTATAATCAATATAATAAAATATGATACAGTTATGGCAGTGTCACGGAGTATCAGAATCGTGTTGCAAATAATTCTCTATGTCAACATAACAAGTAATTGAAGAAGTTTTGGTGGCGTCTTTTAAAGGGATTTCACTGACTTTTTTTTTAAAAACTGGGAATGCAAATAAATTTTCAACATACTGTTCCAGTCTATACCAATAACTTGTTTGCAAAATTTAAGATCATTTGCTCACTCCGTTTTTTCAGAACAATTATTTTAATTGTGGTTAATGACTCAGAATTTAAAAGCGTTAAAATGCTTTTCACTCAGTCGCACTTATAATAGCACAAACATATAATGTTCAATATATTTCTAATTAATTTGCATATATTTCCGTTTCAAGTGTCAAAGCTGATCTATACATGTATAAGAAATTAATATTTTATGCTTTTAGGCTTAACCTCAGTGGACATAACGCTGTAGAATTGTCACTTAGAAAGAAAGGTAACAAAGTCATTTCGTTCCTACATTTTGATAAGTATTAGTCTAAATGCAATAATGTAAATTTATATTTTTTTTTCAAACGGCACCAATTTTGTTACTGATATCGGTAGTGATTGTTAGTGACCTATTCAATGAATGTTCTTGAATAGTTTTGGCAAAGATGTTTGTATGTCAAATGTTCTAATAGTATTTTTTTTATAAATTGCACATTTCTGTCAGCATAGTAGATATTCTAGTCTTAAGATTTTTTTGTCAATATTAATGGCGTCTCATCCTACTTTATTCATGTAAGTCATCAAGATACACACGGAGAATCTTGTGATAAAAAAGGTCTGATAATTTAGTTTTATTAAGTTAGCTGCTTGTACAAAACAGTGTTTGATATTATCTGTATTGCTTTTTTGCACGTAAAGTTGAACATACTCCTTTCGTGAATGTTTACATGCCTTGCATTTCCCGAGGGGCTATGAAGTTTTCTATCGAAAATCTGTGCATGGATCATATTTCGTCAGTAAGTCCATCTAGCCTATTTTTACTGGAAAGCAAACCAAGTACAAGTAATTACAATTTTTCCCTAAGTGACTGACTTCTAATGAAATTGTGTATAAAAATATCTAGTTATTATTGCCTAGTTGCGTTATGTCTTATATTAGTATAACAAGAACGTCCTCACATATATGACTTATACAGCTAAAACGTTAAACATTATATCTGTAGTTCACACGATATTGAAGATGAATATCATTTTGCTTTAGTATGCACTTGTTATAGTTATATATGGATAAATAGATAAAGAGAATCTACCATGGTACACGAAGCATATATAATTTTTTTAAAGAAGATTATTAAATAATGATTACCTAATGTGTCACATTTGGGAAATATTTGCTGTTACCATATTAATAACTAGTAAACAGTGTTTGATTAATGGTGTTTAAATTCCAAATAGATCAATAAGATAAATATTGCAAATGCATCAATAATTAAAAAAAATAACTTAACTTTTCATTACCATTATATTTAACATGAATTTGAAATAGATAAATGGTATGTGACCAATAACTTAAATGTAAAATATGCGATGATGATAATGTATTCTTAACAAGCCATACAAAAGTTTTTTTTGTGCTATTTCTATCATTTGCAAAGGTGAAATATGTGCCTTAGAAAGACTACATCGTCCAGGGTAACTTATTTATGTGTATATTTAAGGAATACCCTTTACGACACTTTATTTTATGCTTTTCCGTGGATTACTGATTTATCCGTGAAAATTATATTTGATAATTTCACAGTGAAAATTATCAAAATATAATTTCATATTTTCCAATGATGAGACTACTTTTTTAAGATTTTCCCCATGTGATACCTCAATTTTATTATTGTTGACAATTCTGACATTGTCAGGGCTGTTTAGAAAAAATTAAAGCTGAAATTGATAAATAATTGAAATTTCAAAAGCAATAAAAAGAAGAGAAGAAAACTTACTTCAATTCATTTAAATTGCCAATCACCAAATTTCTTCTCTAAATTTTTGTTTCATTTTTACAGTCTGAAAAATACAATTCCTTCCACATGCAAAATTGCTCTTGATGATATTTGGGCATATTTTAGTATCCTACAAGCAATAACTACCTAATAACTTGAAAAGCAATCACAGAAATCGGCCCGAAGAATAAGTAAACAACCCAGCAGCAGCGTTCGTAAAGCAGCCTTTCAAAAATTCCATGTTTTCCAATTTCCTAGCCGCTTTTTGAATATTAACACATCTGTCAACACTTATTTATTGTCTGTAACAATCCTCAAACAAGTTTTCGTTATTCTAAAAAGATGTATGACTAACAAATTTAAATAATATCCCTCTGAATCAAACACAATTATTTTCCTCCCGTGAAATACACAACTTTTAGAAATAGCGGCCGCTTACATTTCACAGAGCCAGGTCTTATATAAATTCGCTGTAAGTAACAGAAATAAGGATGGATGGTTTGACTTTTTGGACCACTAGAATTGTTTGTTTTTATTAATAAAACAAGCGATCATTCATATTATTTAAATAAAATGAATAATATCATCACCATTTAACGTTGATAGTCGAACTTATTTTCTGCCCAAGACTTCTTGTATTTTATGTGAAATTCGACTAAATGAGGCTACCAGTGGGGAAAAGATATGTTAATATTAAAGTTAATATTAGGGAAATTTCATTCAAACATGTTTTTAAGCGTAAAATAAAAAAGAAAATTTGTTTGTAATTTTATTTCATCTCGTGAACTTTAAAAACAGTTATTAAAGCTCACTCGATGAAATAAAATTTCATCTTACACACAAACAAACATCCTTTATTTATTGTAGCAGAATGGATCGTGCATGCACTTGCTCCTTGATTCACTTGCACCCAATACGACCTCATATAACTTGTATTTTGCCTCACATGTCTGTTGTTAATTTAAGAGCATTATTAAATGTTACGTGAGACAATTTCCGACAAAAATAGATATCTTGTCACGAAAATTCTCTTTTTATTTAAACTTTCTTTGTTCTGTTGGCTTACCTTCCTTCATTTAAAGAGTATAATTTAAATAATCATTTTTACGTAGGTCTTTAGTGTTCCATGTAATTAAAAACATGAATTCAGCATCAATTCGCAGATAAAAAGAAGAATTATATAACTAATGGTCTTGATTTTATTAATATAGTTTGTAGAATGAACAACACTTCAGTAAAAAAAATAACACGCGTATTTTATTTTAAATAATTTTCTTTTCCACGTGTTACCAGTGCATGCGTTCTTTTTATAATTTATTTTTACACAAATTACTAGAGCACATGTTCTTTTTTATAATTTACTTTTTACACGAATTACTTGTAATTAAAGCAAAACTACTTCTGAATGTCGTTAATTTACAAATGTTCAATCATGTTTCCCTGTATAAATTGATCTTCTGATTCTGACAGTTAGCAAATACTTGTACTCTCTAATGGATATATCTCTCTATATATACCTGTATATACCTTTATAGGCACACACAGAGTGGTTAGAAATTAAGAGGCTTTGAACAACAGTGAAAAGGTAATACTTTTATCCATTGCAAATACATCTTCTTTTTTTTTACTTTTTTTAATAATCTAGAAATAAGATTTGTCTTTTATTATCTTCTCAATTTATATTTTTGAGGATAAAAATCTTTGATTTGATAGTTATTCAGACAATCAATGTATCAATGTTAAGTTTTATTTATTTTTACTTGTGATATTAAGTAAAGTAATTTTAATGAAAACTCAACTGTTACTCGTGCATTGTTTTATTTACATTTAAATAAATTTATACAATTTTAGTAAAGTGTTAAAATCGTGTAGTTAGTAATTTTTAATGAATTAAAATAATTGTATTAAAAAACAACAATACTTAAACAACAATTTTACATGACGCAAATACTTTGTAATAACAAAGTTATTGTACCACGTGACTGCTATTGGAAAACGATCACTAATAAAAGTAATAAGAATTAAATGAATATAATGAAAACCATTGCATTTAATAGAATTTTAAATTTTTTGATTAACTGCGTACTATATAATAAAATATTCTTGTTATTAAGGAATTGTAATTATTGGAGACAAAGTTTCCTTTATTTCAATTTAATATTTGTTTTATATTATTATCCTTTGATATTAAGTGTAGTCAGTTTCAAATTAAAATGAGACGTAGTATATGTGTTACTAATGACAGTGATAATTTTTGACGGAATTATTAAAAGTAATGGTCAAATGTTTAATAATATAACGCATACATTTTACTTTTGTCATTTTAATATGAATTAAATTGCATTCTTGTTACATATCACATCGGACAGATATTGTCATTATGTTGTATTCAATTGAAATAAGAATAATTTTTATTTTTCAGCATTAAGAATGGCTTTATCCGTGGGTTTGTGGATTTTTCTGGTGATTGATGCACTCGTGTTGTTGTTTTCAGTGTTCAGTAACGCGCTCGTGATTTACTGCGTCATCAAGCACCCAAAATTACGTTCTGTGACACATGTCCTAATATGTAACCTTGCATTAAGTGATATCTTATTGGCTGGATTTGTTATGCCACAAAAACTGCATGATCTCTCACATGAGGAGGATTTCTTCGAAGGTAAGCGGAAATTATTGAAAATTGTATGAATATAAATGTCATTTTACTATTATGGTTGCTTATTATTTATCTGTAAACTTATCATTCATTCTAAAAACATTCATGAGTTGTTGTTGTTGTTCTATCATATAGATATTCATGAAGCGAATCCAGAAAATTTATCACAGAGACTGTCTCTGGAGAAGTTTGTGACATTTGTCATAGGTTATATGTATATACGTTAATCATATAAACTGACAACCAATAATCTGATCATAGAATTGAATCATCACGATTAAATGCGTGTTAAATAAATATTTCTACGTAAATAGACGTATACCAATACGCAAGAATAGCTGTTATAATTATCATGGAAATAATTAAAAGGTATCACAATATTTTTGAGAGACTTTGATAGTTGGAATCAAAAATATATATATTTGGTAAGAATATTTCTAGCAACACTTAATTATAACGCAACAAGACAACTCTCAACTCAATCTCAACTCAACTCAAATAATTTAATTGCATTAAAGGTATACTATGCTCAAATTTGATGTTTGAAAACATTGGTATTTGCAACACGATTTCTTTGAAAATATAAAATAAACATGTTTTGACTCCGCATGAAGTATATATGTTATGTTTTAAATCCAACACACACTTTGAATATATAATGTCAATAAAAAACTGGCAGATTTTTTTAAGAAAAGGAAAGCTTTACTTGACCCGTAATAAGGAACACTGAATCCTATACATAGTATGTACGTTCTTTTATTCAAAAAACAGATATTCGGTTAGAATTTTTTAGATTTCAATAAATTTGTGCAATAAAAATATTTTACTCAGATATAAGCATAGTATATTTTTAAACATACAATACACAAACTTTTATGTATAACACACCTATAGGCAGAAGACATAGATTTTTCAAGGAGCATAAAAAACAATACAATGTGAAACATAGGAGTTCATAGTAAAACTTGTTTTGAAATTTTGTAAAACTATTTTCTAATTAAATTTGCATAATATAGTTAGAAAGATCTCTTATTACTATTTAAGTTTTCAGACAATAATAGATTTGTACATATCTGAAATGTATTGGTGTGAGCATAATAATAATAATAATAATAATTATTATTATTATTATTATTATTTTTATTATTATAATTGTAATGATAATAATAAAAATAATAATAATAAAAAATAATAATAATTATAATGATAATAAAAATAATAATGATTACAATACATAATCAAAACGCAAAGTAAGCAAAGTAAGCAGATCTTACATTAATACTACTTTATATTATATAATTATTTTTAAAGTGACAACATTTTCATTGGTGTAAGACGATTGTTTTGTTTAATTTGGGGTTTAAAGGCCACAAAAACATACTTATGACATTCTTTACAATTATGAATTATTATTATTATTATTAAGACACTGTAAAAAGCAGATTAATCTGATAAACAAATATAGCTTACTGTGTGATTGAATTAATTTTTATCCGCAATATAAACCCAATCATACAGGATAAAAAAGGCAACATTATCCTCTTTTGCCAATCCTCATTTACATAATATGATAAATTATCAAAGAAAAATAAAAGTCATTGAATAAGTTCCACTTCTTCTGTAATTTCTAATGAATACTCATTATGTTATAAGATCCACAACAGATATTTTCGTGTTTTTATTTTTAGTCTCGAAAAGTATCTAATTTTCGATATACACATGTATTTTGATAACCATTATAATTAGATCTTCCCTTTCACACAAAAACAGGACGCCTTGTTGCTGTAGGATTGCCCCTAAGGGTTAAGGTATCAGAATTGCAGTCACTGTTTATCTCTGCGTGGTCGTAAAAGGCGATTAAATTAGTTCGAATTACTGGCTTATATGCATCACTTAGCTCATGTGAAGTGGCTTTGACCTTTAAGTTTGTAACATCAGCGGTTAGCCAAAATCATCTTTCCACTTTCGGCGTTATATGACTAAAATTGTGTTAGTGCGTACCAAACAGACAAATAAACACAGCAGCAAAAATGTTAGGTCCTACGATACCATTGATTCCAATATTCTAAATGTTGAGAATCTAATATTTCTTCAGCCGGTGCTAGGGGGCGTGAAAGATGTTTCTCTCACTATCGCTTATCTCTCATTAACAGAGTCAATCAATGGATAGCTCTCAATGGATCTCCCTTTTCATGAATATTTATTTATTTATTTATTTATTTAACGAGTCATATTGATTCAATTATAAAGATTCGTGATTATTATTTTTTAAACACTAAACTAGTTTTTAGCAAAGATATCCTAGATGCGGGGAAATACCATTATACAATGTTGCTTCAGTTAGAGCAAACTGTTCATAAATACTAAAATTATCAGACCTTGCAAGAAAAGAAAAGACAGTTAAAACAGTTAAAACATGAAGTTTAAGTCACCTCTGAAGCAATGCGCTGTGTACATATCTTCTAATAAAACAAATGTAGTTTTGGTAGGCGATTAACCCCACTGGACCATCAATGGGATACGCAAAACCCCACTGAAGAATGGAAAACGCCACTGCTATCTTTATATAAACGACCAATAATCATCAATTACTGTTTGATTTAACATTTTGTATTGAAACTGTATTAAAAATGGTAGTTGAGTTTGTAAAAAGTCCGGATTTGCAAACTTATTCCGGAGGTTGTTCTTTATCAATCTGGCTAGTTACACAACAGTCCTCTCTAAGCTGAGGTGTTAATTTCTTACGGTAGATGAATATTTGTAGTAAAAAGCTATCGTCGGTGACTTTATTTTAAACATTGCAATCCTATCGGCGATTGGTGTTTAATAACAATAAAAGTCTACAAAAATACTATTATTACACATGTTTTGATCCTTTTCACTAACGGTGACGATTCTATTATATGGCACTGTTTTAAATTTACTTATATGGTAATATATTTGCTAAGCAATTAGTATCTTTACTGTAACAAACTTTTTTTTCAGGTGACATTCTTTGTAAAATGGTGAACTTCTGTCCCGTGTTAGTGATAACAAGTTCCATATATACTTTGGTCGCCGTGTCGTTTGAGCGTCGACGTGCGATTATTGACAGCAACCGTGCAAAGGTGACTTTTTCATCACTCTACAAAATAATTCCTCTTATATGGCTGTTTGGGCTTCTTGTATCTGTACCAACACTACTCGAATATGCTGTAAACACAGTTACCTTGGAATTGGAGAACAATGCAACAAAGTCAATATTGTCATGTGGAAGCCAACACATGACACCACTGTACTCGTTAATAAACGCCTCGTTTGTAGTACTCATTTCATATGTTGTACCAATGGCACTTATGTTCAAGAACTACATTGATCTAGCAATGTACCTCTCAAAGAAGATCAAACAGATGGCAAATTCTCGTCAAAATACAAGGAATAGTTCAATATATATAGAACGTTATAAGAGTAAGGACAAGGTCGTCAAACTGCTTGTTGTTGTGGCAGTAATCTTTGCTGTATCCTGGCTACCATTCTTCATCATGCTCCTGTATGCGGTAAATATATTTCTATTTTTCGGCTGTACACCGCATTTTACAATGATTGTAACTGAAATAATCATATTCAGTTTTCAAGGGTTTATTTGAGATAAATTGACTGGTTTAATCCTTTCATTTAGGGCCATATAGTTGATGAATTCATTGAATTACAATAATGGACAGAACATACACTTTATGTCTGTCTTGGGCGAAACATCCCTCATTTATAACATTTATTTATTACAGTGCATGCATCAAGAAATCAAGTTATTATGTATCCAGTCAGTTAAATGCCCATATAAAGAATTACATGTACATGCAAAAACATGTTATAGTTAATTCAATCAATTGAAAATGTTAAAAAAGAATACTTCATTAATAATAACATATAGATATGCTAATCTACTACATTGTCTCGTCCTTCAACGCTTTTATATAAAAAATACCATTTTTATAACAAATTTTCTGTCTGCCTTAACAATTGTATGAATTTGTAAATGCTTGGACTGACAATGTAGTATCTTGAAATATACAAACTTCGAAACGGAGATAATCATATAAAGTGAAATTTATCCTCAATATCCTCAGACATACATAATGTGCATTTCTTGACTTCTTTCAATACCGCTATGCTCTTATTCACGAATATTGTTTTTCATGAAAATATGTGATAATCAATTGATTAGAAAGCGAATTTTTACCATAATACACGAATTGCTTCATAATTTTACTACAGTATATTGTTGGCATGAAAGAAAGAGAAAGTGAAACATACCAATTTCTTTATTTTCATGGCATTGATATAGGCATACATTTTTCTATACTATATTAATAATCAAATATAATTTATATATTAGTAAACTTGACCCTACACCAGATTTAAAATAAATAAAACATGTCTTTTTATAGTTAAGAAGTGTGCAAATATTGTGATATAGTATAATTTAAATATTGTGTTTGAAGTATGAAAACGAATATATGTTTTTTGTTGTCTTTCAGAAAATAACTCGAAACGATGCGAGTAGCGATGCAACAGGCTTTTCAAACCTTTTTATCATCGCATTGGCGTCATTTAGTACCGCCTACAACGTCATTTTATACGTCATTTATAATCCAAGTTTTTCACGCGCAATCAAAGATACCATTGCATGCAGAACTGTTAGGGTTTCACCTTTGGGACAACCAGATGACAACATTGATAAAACAGATTATGGCGGTAATGTTTCACAGTTTGCAAGAACGAATAGTACAAAGTTTTAACTTAAAGTGAATTGATCCAAAACGGATTTTCTGGTCTACAATAAACAATCATAGTTGATAATATTAAGAATCATAAGTGACAACAAACCATGAAGGAATAATATACGAATGTTTTTAATAACTGCCACATACATGATCCGGTATAATATTTCTATTTACAGTCGAAAATGAATCTTTTTCTAGAAAGATTTTATAAAAATAACCAAGTGACACACATCTATTGTTTTCCATTAATATTTGTAATACTTATGGAAATTGTGAAAGTTGTAGAAAGTTTTATGTTATTTGACAATAGGCAATATTTTTTATCTCCGTGAAAACTGTTCATATTGTCCAGAAGACATCATAGTTACAATAAGAAGCTGTAGACATCATGACGAGTCTGAAAAATTTCATCATTTCTAAATAAAATATTACGTGTATGATAAGTATTAACCAGTATATGTGTTTTTGCATTTCCATGATTATCGCATACATTTATCATTCCAAATTTTACAATGTTAATGTAACTTTCACGTATTGTATAAAGATAGTTTGTTCTGTTATAATAATAACATCCAAACCAATATCATAAGCATTATAATCATCATCATCATCATATCATTACAGTTTAACTTACTATACCTCTTAATAAAGCATAGATGAACTAAATGCTTAGGAGCCTTAAAGTAGTTCCGCTGAGGTCCAAAGTCCTAAATAAAATATGATTTGAAAATATTACGTAGATAATGATTAAAATTATACTCGGCATTAAACGGAAAATTGTTTTAGTGCAATTCTCTTGAGTTAAAAGCGTTTGTACAATAAAATTATTATTCTGAAGAAAAGGAAACGAAATGATCGGATGATGAACATTTTGCACATAAGTTATTCTTTTAAACAATATCTGAAAATAATATTTCCAGTCCCCTAAGTAGAGCTCCTTTGATATAGTCAATAATGTTACATTCAAGATCATTCATTAAAGGAATCGCTGCTTAAGAGCAATCCTCTCACAAACGACCTTTTACATAAAGGCTTTATTTCAGATATTTTTCTTTCAACGATTTCATGCACCAAAGCACACACGCTTTACATATATAACCCTTTTTTCATGTGACAAAAGAGCAAATGAATTGACCCTTGTTTGAAACCAAAACATCATAATGTTATTACATGCCAATAGTATAACACAGCGTCCATGGTAAACCTAATTCTTGTCCTGTATGACAATAATACTGACAAACGTTTCTATAAATCATTTTAGTCCACCCTCTACTATTGCTCTTTTCGTTGAAAGATACACCGCTTTTAAAACCAATTGATATAATAGATGCACACCTCTTGAAAGCTCTTTGCGTTGATTTGTAACGAACATAAAATTAAAAAAAAAAGTTTTATTCACCTATAAAAACAAATTTCGGAGAACCAACACGTTTAAAAATGCAACGGCCAAAGCTGCTCAGACAAATGTATACTATATCACAGCATTATAATCGAGGATTCATGTAAAACTGGCGTTAGAACCATACATGAAATTATCTATGTTTGGAGGAATTTCTATCCTTTTACTTTCCTGATCATTAAACACTTGTTATTGTAAAAACAATTAAGTATTTATTTCAAGAGTCATTGGAGTTTACGTGTCATATCACTCTATATAATATATAGTTATTTTTGGAAACAAATTATGACTAAACATGATATCGTAAAGGAATATTTGTTTTCTTGAAAACTCGGCTGGTCGTGAAGAAAAAGATTATTTCAAACTACAAAACAATGTGTATGACATTCCGTTCTTCTGTTCATTTAATGAAATTAAACAAACACGTATTTCATCCGCAATTAACTGTAAATGTACAGCTCTCTTACAATAATGTTATAATTGGTATGTTCTGGGTTGCTGCTGAAATGATAAATTAGGACTCAGGGCAGTCTAGCAGCCTTAAAACTTGAAGTTGGAAGCCTAGCTGCCTAAAGTAAGCATGTTAAGGCTAGTGACATAGAAATAGGCAAACGACAGAGATAAAAAACGTTTGTTTCAATATTATATATGTGTGTAATGGTCTTACAAAGTTATGATAATACATCTTTAATCGTTTCCGTATTTCTAGAACATGTCACAAACTTTAAACTGCTAGATTGCCTACTTCAGGCTACTAGGCTGGTAATTAATTAGTTCAGCAGCCCAAAGGTAAAATTTTTTATCATACAAATGTATTATCTTATACAAATGCTTAATTGTCTATAAAAAATTCCTTTAGTTCATTTAATACGTTGTCGTATTTTAAATATACGAGGGTTGTTCAAAAAGTAATAGGACTAAGAGTCTTATGTCTCCATATTCCATTAGAGTTTAAATATTTTCATATCCACGGCAATAGTTAATTGTTTTCTACAACTTCAGCATAAGTTTATGGAATAATTGCGCTAAAGGCGTGTTCCCTGTGATTTTGAATAACCATGGTAACACGCACCCGGCGCAGCGCATCAAAAATATTTTGACGCTTATTTGTACTTTCAGTTTATTCATAATATGTTGTCTTTTCCCCTTAATATTTCACCAACACATTTTATCATATTAAAGTGTCATGTTGTCCAAATTTGACGTAATTCAGACTAGAAATCGCTAAACCATAACGTTTTGAACAACAGTGATAATCGCGTCAAATGTAGAAAAATGACGTTCGTTGAAAAACTTAAAATGTGTACGATCATTAAATTTTGCCAACAGATAGGCCCAACTCCTTCAGCTACGTATGAAAAGATTAAATTTTCACAGAACAATAATTAGGCAATTAGGACACTCGTTTTCAGCAGGAGAAAGCAGTTCAAAGACGGTGAATATGAGATCACAGACACGAAAGGGCTAGGGAGAAAGCGGAAAATTGACGGACGTTAGAGACGTTAATTGCAATAGCGCTACAAAAGTATCGGCGATATACAGTCCGCGAACTGTCCGGCATGTTTGATGTTTGCATCGGGTATACTGTTTCAGTTCTAAGAAAATTATTGAATAGGGGAAATTTGTTTTAAACACTATTTTATTTTATTAGATATATATATGTGTGTTAGTTATCATGGAATAAATTTGATAATGATACGCGGTAATTATTGGTATCAATTTTTCTCGATTTCGTTTAATAAATGATAGCCTGTGCTCAGAAGAAGAGAATATTTTTCAATGGATAAGCATTTTTAATTTACTGTACATAATCATATTGTTTTAAGAATGTAAGATAGCATGTGTAAATAAATAATATAAATCACTTTGTCATTTACATTATATGTCCATACCCGTTTAGCTAATCACGAGATCAAACCGAAAGTTGCCGGCCACCGGGCATGTTTCGAATAAAGAAATGAAAATGTGATTGCTTTTTTTTTGCTACATCTCCAAAGATGAGTTCTGGTTATAGTTACATGATTCAAGCACCTAAAACATTGTGGAGAATAATTTCAGAAAGAATGACGCTGTTTACATTTTGAATTTATTTTGCGACGTCATGAACGTCATTTATTTAACAATTAGCGTGCGCCGGGTCGCGTACCCCTTGTCATTTGTAAGTTGTACAGAATTGTTGTTTTTAAACATATTGTATTGATTTTTTCACTGTATATAGAGAACAAATTCCGATATTCGATTTTTGTAAACTCGTGTACGTAGATGAAAAAATGTGAACAGTAGAGCTGCAGTCCTATTACTTTTTGAACAACCCTCGTACATGTACATGTATGTCACTTCAGGCTGTTAGAATTCTTATATTAGGCTGTTGGTAACATCAGGCTGAAAGGCTGCTTGGTGTTTATTCATCTTTACAGCAAGCCAGAGGTTAAGGTTTACATCAAATCATTTGTGTTTGTAATGACCTGAGTTAGTGATTATGATTTGTTTCAGAACGTTCCTTGTTTCTGATATATGTCACTAAGTGTAGACTGTCAGGCTTCTTAGCTGCTGGACTGGCAATTTCAAAAGCTAACTTGTGGAAGAAATATATTTTATATGACATTTGTTTTGTTATTTGTATGCTTTTATATCATTTGTACATGCTTGATCTGCTTACAGTGTATTTGTGTTTTGTTTGTGTATATTTCAATCATATTTATTTGTGTGTGATGACGAGGAGCTGTGCTCAAGTCCAAAATAGAACAAATATTCTATTCTTTTCTACATATCTGGCACGTTCACGTTTTAAATGACATTTTTTCAGAATCGCAATCATTACCAGTAACAATCTATCTCTTTGATATTTTCATAACACTCAAGTGTTCTTTTATCCAGTAACAAGCTTTGGCGAACAGTTACGCAAGATTAATCTAGAACATATCGTTAATGTTCATCATTTTGCTGTTATTTCCCATAGGCTTTAGATTTTTAATCATGTCTCATAAAGAAATAAATATATACGTCAATGAAAAGTAAAAGCCAATCAAATCGAACGGAAAAGTGCACAATGACACTGTTATCACTAATCACATATACACATGCATAAATGACATAGTTAGAATGTTAGAAAAAATAGCATCTGCTAAACAAATACATATGTATGTTGCAGGGTTTCCGCTGACCATTTTACTTTTCCGCCACTGGGGAGGGTTCCTGGAGGGAGCCATCGGAAATATTTCAATTTCTCATTATCAAATACACAATTTACAAGGTATCTAGAGCTCCAACTGTTATGAAATTTCGTGGCATTAAAGAATTTAAAAATAACAAATCTAATACTTTTTCTGACTTTTATTTTCTAAATTCTGTATACATCAACAAATAACAATTGACGTATCATAATCAGGGCTCACACTGGCTTAAAAAATAACAGACAATATTTTTAACTGAGAAAATACTGTAGCCAAAAGTTCAGATATATTGATACTTCCATTTTTTTCTTACATAAAACTATGGCTTTAATTACAGTTAAAGCTGTGAATTAGAACAAAATAAATATGTTATATCTTAGAAATGATGCATATCAATATTAACTAGAGCTATCACTAAATGTGATTCATATCCTTAACATTGTTGGGATACAAAACATATCGTTTATATTAA